AGCTTTTGATTGATAAGGTCGAGGCCCTTTCGAGGGCTATAGCACCGTGATAATGGTGGGAAAATTTTCACAGATCATTGTGAGAAACATAAAAATTTCTAGCACTTTTCTTACTAGATTAAACTTACTATCGCATAATTCTTTAACCACTAATATATATGTATATATATATATATATATGTATATATATATATATATATATATATATATATATATATATATATATATATATATATATATATATATATATATATATATATATATATATATATATATATGGATTATCTACTTTCGTTATCTTGCGCTATAGATAGCAAATTATTTTTAGATTTTAAAATTCGAATTTAGGATGTCTTATTAATGAAGCAAATACCCACTATATCCTGTTTCAGCCCTTAGGATTCAGGCCAATAACTATACCTACTTTTAACCAATATTCCAATTTTTTTATTACCTGTTTTACAACTTTAATAAAAGTTTTTATGTATTGTAAAAAGTAACTACTACAATGTAATAAAAATTTTAAATCACCATAAAAAATTATGAGATTTTAAAATCCTTAATTTGCGTCCTGTTTAGAAACAATAATGAACTGACATAATTTACATATTTTATGATAATGTAGGACGATATGCTATTTGAAATTAGTCGAAAATAATACGACATATGCCCCTTTTTGGAGCATTTTTCGACTTTGAGAAGAAATCTTTTTATAGTAATGCACTGGGCTATTTAATCCATGTGGCATTAAACAAAGCCATAATAATTAACACAATAAAGTGTAGAACTTAAAATGAATTATAGTAAGACAATAAGATTACACAACACAAAGACATAAGATAATATAACTGGTAAAATATGGCAAGGGATAATAGACTGGATCAATGAGGACAACAGAACTATACTTCGTCTTTGGGACAACCAATTAACATAACAAAATCAGTTACAGAAATAAAAAGCAGAAGAAGGCTTGTTTATTATATCCTAGTATAAATTAATAAATTATAACAATGTTATAGCCCCTAAAGCAAAAAAAACACCTTGTGTTTTTTTGCTTTAGGAAAACAAATGGAACGCTATGGAACGGCAAATGCTGAAGATAAAAATAAAAGATAAGAAGGCAAATACGTGGATTTCACGAAAAAGAAAGTCCAAACTAAAACAGCAAAACGAAAGTATGTAAAATAATGATATCACATAGTGGAACACTTTGAAAAACAAACATGGACAAAGAAGACTAAAAATGAGATTGGAACACGAGGTCAACAAATTATGTGTGAATAATGAATGAATATAACAAGAAACACCAAAGGGGAGAAATTAGTAGAGGCTTATGGCCATATCCTAAAAAAGAACTTATAATAATTTAAAGGACTTCATATAAGAAACTATACCTATAAAATTCCTTTTAACTCCATTAAAAACCTATATGAAAAACCACCACTGATTAATGGTTAAAGTAGCTAATCTTGAAAATAAATGAAAATATCCATAAAGAGTAAAAGTGTAAGGTTATATCAACTTTATTGAAAAATCAACTTAAGCCATAAAACTTTAAAGCACATAATAAAATGTCAATCACTGCTACCATAAATAGGACCATAACAAATCGGAATTAATGATTTTAGTCTAGACAAGAAACCATATTTTATTTTTGATGTAATGATGTAAGTTAGCTTCAATTTTTGGTTTATCAGTTTAACCCATAACCGCTGGACATGGGGAGGTCAGGAAGATTCTTACAAAAGTTTTCAAAATTTATGAAGGGGGTATCTATAAAGGGCTATCTGCAAAGTGACCTAAAACTGGTAAGTTAGTGGATTTTTTTTGTTGAAGCGTGTATTCAGGTTTACTTTTTTTGTCCAAACTAGAATGATAGACCATATATATAGTAACAGAGATTCAAAATGGAAGACACTAGAAAAGCTTTGTGTGAAAGAGTCGTTTTGACATTCATAAAAGAATCAAGTTTTTAAGAAACTATAATGATTTTAAAAAGGAACACGCTTCATCTATTTATTTAGACAAAACATGGATTTTTACTGAAATAAATCGAATTTGACAGGACAGGAATAAAATCAGTCAAAATCAGCTGATTATCATGAACAAGGAGATGTGAAAGAGCTTGTGAAACGGTTGAAAGAAAAACTGCTTCAAGTTTACCTACATGAACCATCCGCTATAGCTTTGCAACCAACAAATTCCTGGAGAGTGTAGAAAATAAAAGAATGGTTAAAGACTGAAAATATTTCATTTTCTCCGGATTCTTTCAAGCCGAAATTACTACCGTAGCCAAAAGGAATGAAAAACCAAAAATATGGTAGATGAGATTATACAGAAGTAAAAGAGGAAAATCCCAGTGATTGGGTGTATCCCATACTTTAAAACAAACTTACATAGAAATAAGAACTTCTTGTATAATGGTATATTATTTGATAATACAAAATAATATACCATTATACACAAGAAGTTCTTACTTAAGATTATACATAGTTTTGGACATAATGTGTGAAGACGGCCCCATTACCATTGTGAATTCAATCGCACTGAACATATTTGGGGAATATGCTAAACTTACTACAATAATTATATTGGACGTAACGGTCAAAGTGACACAGCCGCTTTGGAAACATGTCAAGAACCATTGAATACTGCTACTCCCGCAATTTGGGAAAAAAGTGTGCGGAAATCTGAGAAAGTTAATAGAAGTATGTGGACGCCGATAATCCAAATGAGGATACCGACGACAGTGATTATGAGGATACCGACGACAGTGATTATGAGGATACCGACGACAGTGATTATGAGTATGGAGCTAATCTTGATTACACTGAAGGTAATAGTGTTATTATTTTAAACGTAGAGTAAAAAAAAAAGAATTGTTAATTTTCTTCTATTTTTGTACTAATAATTGTATATTTGCACTAATATTGGGAGAATTTGGTAAAATTAACAGACGAGGCAATCCATGACGCTAGAAGCAGCAAAGCCTATAGAAAAGATCCACTATAACATGAAATAGGTCGTCACAGATACGGTGCTTTTTGAGTTGCTGTGCTATCTGTGATAATCAGAAAATACTCGAGGAATTGGAGACTAGATCTATTTGATCAATACAAAAGCATAGTGATAAATAAATATGTACGAATAACACTACTCAATGAGCATGTAGACTTTGTCTATATAACAAGATTTTGATACAACAAAATTACTACAATAATGAAAATATCCTAAAGGATTAGAATTTTTATAAGACCATCAGTGAAAAGTGAAAACAAGCATTTGCAAAAGTGTTCATTGATAAATGGATGGATGGACTGAGAAAAACGCCGCAAATTACTGAATGAAAACTTATAAAAACCTCCCAAAAATTTCGATATACAACAATAATTTACCCGAATTCGACAGAAATCATGTTGTAGTCTAAATACAAAGAAGAGACATAAAGAGTTGCATTATGTAAAATTATATTCATTTTGAGTATAAGTGAATATACTTCTATAAATAGTTAACTTTACCCTTTCATCTTGTCAAATCGGTCATTTTGAATAATTAGTACCGTAATTCTTCAATTATTTACGTATTAAACTCTCTCGTGAGATCGGATAGCAATTTAAAATGAAACGGCATGGGTTGTCAGCCCGGGGGCATTTTGTATAAAATAACGTGCAGGTAGTGGACCTAACCAGCCCGAGAGACGGTAGAAGGATTAACCATTGTAGACCAGTTCCTAGAAGCGGTAGATAATCTTGACAGGACAGAATAAGTGAAAACAAGAATAACAACAAAATTTATGTATTTCTTTTCAAACAGAACAAATTTATTTTAAAAAGATTGAAGTGATTTGTGGGAAAACAAAGCAAGACAATGGTAAAATTAAGATATTTTAATTTTAAGTCAAGAACTTTTTGTGTAGAATAGAAAGAGAGGAAACGTAACAACCTACAGATGATTTGAATTGAACGAAATTGCATAAAGAGGCCAATTGAAAAAATGGGAAAAACTGCAGTAGTTAAAGAATAGATTTAGAATTAGAACTATGAACAAAAATATATGATTATCAAAGATCTTATTAACTAGTTAATTGTCGATTTTAAAGAAAACAATGTACAAAGTGTACTTATAACCATATCCAAATACAATTTTTTTACATACGGGAAAGGTTATTATTCTATTGGATAAAAATACGAACCTAAATGTATAAACAGAAACAAAAGGGATCCGAGAAAATAAAAATGCTATGGAGAATGCGAAAAAGAATGAGAACCCCTTTAATATGTGATAGTAAAAATTTCAGTCAAACGATGGTATATCAGCTGTAATATTCGGTGTTGATTGTAACTAAAAAAACATATGACGAACTGTCACATTTTATGGTCAAAGAATTGGGTTTTTTAATGAATGAACCAAAAAACCTGTAAAAAAAAATTTAAATACAAATTTTGGAAGGAAGAAAATATTCAGGCAGCAAATGTAGAAAATTTTGAAATATTGGAGTGATTGCACCCGAAACGAAATATTTAGAACAGCTGAACAACACATGAAATTCAATATCGAGAGAAAGTGTTAAACGTAACATGCAAACATATTAAACCTGTAAGTATTAGAAACAGTGAACAAATTCAGCATGAAAAACTGCCGAAAACAACTTTTCGGGATAAAACAGCAGCTCATGTTACAATAATTGTACGTTAATAAAAATTGTCATTAATTTTAAGGCACTATAACCATTAAAAATAAAATTTTAAATATACTATGCAGATTCATTTTAATACATCTTTCATACCATACAGGAACCTCTTTCATACTGTACACTGATAGAAAAAAAAAATAAAATGGTTAATAGATATTTTTGTCAGATTAATGTTATTTAATTACACATTTATTGGATATTAGACAGGGTTCCTCGCAGCAGCTTATACTTCAACCAAATTTCTATATGTACAAATGTATATTGGAACAAATCAGTAAAATCAGAGATAAAGTTATATAAAACATACTTTAAAGCCTGGCCTAAAATCTCTCCTTACCGGGGATGAGGGATTTTGTACAGGTGGCATTTGTTGCTGCATTCCGTGTATGCTATTCTGCAAATTTTGTAGTGTGTTGTGCATATTTTCCATGGTAGACGAAGGATACCACCATTGTGTTCCTTGTGCAGGTGCAGACAAAGTGGGATTTCCACCTGTCATACTATAATCGTAGCCGCGAATACCGGCAGCACCAATGGGGGATGTAGACGTCACGTTAGACACAGTAGTAGCGGGATTTTGAAAATTGTTTGCCATTTTATAGTTAAATGCTTGCGTATTAGATTCATCTTCTACTTGCTGTTGTTGTTGCTGCTGCTGCTGTTGTTGGAAAAATTGTTGCTGTTGTAAATTTTGTTGATCGGCAGCGACAGATCCCGGCCACCACATACCCTCTTCCCGTCCGCCCCAAGAACGGTGGTCGGACATGATTGAACTATAGGAGGGGCTATTCTTAAAGTTGCCCGCGCACTATCCCTCACAAACAAAAACCATGAGGATGCACAACTAAAAACAACACTACACTAATTCTTATTCGACATCGCCGTGACAAAAAGAGATAACAACTGAAACAACGACGACGATCGAATTTTAAAAATTATTGGTACATGTGCACGCGACAGCCGTTCGACACAATCTGGCAACACGGGCAAGCGAAGCGAGAGTCTGAGCAGAGGCAGAGGGACGCCAATACATGGATGCGACGAGGACGCCCTCACACGCAGCGGAGATTGTGAGAATTTCAACCCGCGTCTCCTCACCCTTCTTCCTTCCAAAAGCTGCTGCGGCGGTTGCCGGTCAATAAGAAGCCGAATCGAAAACCTCCCAGAACCAACTCTTGCGGAGGACGAGAGGAAGGGAGGGTTTGCACAAATTGTGTTTCTCTCCCTCTCTCTCTTTTTTTAATTAAAATTTGCTTCATTAACTATTCTGCGATGGCAGTGTACTAATGCCGGATTTGTCATATTAACTTAAAAACATAATACCCTTTTAAGATGAAATCCCGCCATGTTAACAAGATCTCGAATTGCTTTTTATTTAAAAAAATATGTTTTCCTTTAATCCAACTTCGTTTATTTTCCCAATCTAGAAGATAAACCCCACATATTATATTAATCGGTATTATTTGTATATAAAAAAGATAGCAAAATAATAAAATTGAAATAAGTCGAAAGAAAATAATATTCACACTGGCAATAGAACCAAAATAATGTTCAAAAGCTTGGTGAGGCATTTTCCAGAAATGGAATACAACAAATAAAACTATAATGAGATCAAAAGAGCAAAAAAAAAACAAACAGGAAACAATACCTACAGATCAGAACCGATCATAACAGTAAATTTGAAAAAAAGTCATGAGATAGGTATTGAAGAAGGGCAATTAGAGCTCTCTGCAATTTGAAATTTATATACACACTAGTAGCTAAATATGAATGAAAGCCGATTAATAATGTTCCAGTTACAAGGAACATGAAAATTAAAATACAATGCTTGACAAACATTTGAATTGGTAATATTGGAAATATTTAGAAGTTAAGAATATGTAGCAGCAAATACAGTACACTCAATAGATATTCTCTAAATGAACAATAAAAGTAACAAACCACATAGTAAAGATAAGAACAATAAGGGCAAATAACATTAATCAATAATAAGGAAGCCAATATTTAAATATGACATTACTAAAAGCCAGAATGTCACCAAATGACACAAAAATATTTATTATTACTACTTTATATTCCAGATTTCACAGATAAACTAGTGAATAACAAATGACGGATATATTACACACATAAAACTTAAGAAACAAGAGAGGAATTCTTAAGAAAACGAGAGCAACATCTTCCGAAATCATCAACAAAGAAACCAAATAAAAAAAGTACTTATCCTTACAACAGAATCCAGCACTTTAATTTCATATTTTAAAATATTTCAAGGTTTAGAAACAAACATTCTCCACTCTAATTTTACAAATTTGTTTGCTCTTCTAGTGAGGTATGTTTTAATGATTCTGCAACTGTAATTATTATTTTGTTAATTAAAACAAACGAAAATTTATTTTGATTTTCCCCGACAGAAATGCGTAAAAGAAAAAAGTAACTGTGATTTAAAGTAAACATTAGAGCAACATGCTTTAATGCCTGCGGAAAAGCTTAAAGTACTCACGATAAAAAAATATGAAAAACTACAAATAGCTGTAGGGGCGTATACACAACATCGCTGTGACTGTAGGGTAAGGGCGAATATAGAGGGTGAATCGACACTGTGCCCTTTAATATATAATGATGAATTCAATTATAGGGTAGATATATTCAATTTGCAGAATTTGATAATTAAGATGTGTGTAAAAATACAATGAATTACAAGTTTGTAAAGAATGTTAAAATAAAATAATAGAAGTTTTTCCAGAACGAAAAGAATAAGTATTAGCAATAATAACTCTGCTAATACTCACATATTAAAAAAAAACACAACACAACAAAAACACAGATTACAGGATACTGATATACATTTATTTACAATAGGAAATATGAAGATACACTGATGAAGAGTTATAGCACTTTTGCAAAAGCTGCACATAGCAATACATTAACATCAGAATGCATAAATCACAAAAGACCTCATGGACTATGCCATCTGTAATAGTGGGGAGGGGTGCAATGAAAACTGCCTGATCTGGAACATAGACCCTCATCACAGTTTAATGCTTATAATAATATAGTGTGCCCTCATTTCGAATAGAGATATAGATTTTGCTATTAATTTTGAAATGTGAATGTCTTTAAACATAATGATTAGTATGCTGTAATATTTGAAATTATATTTTTAGATTAACGATTTGTGAAAAAATCTACAGATGTAGAAAAAAGACTATTTGGAAAATCAATAGTGTAACATATTTTGAAAAAATACATTTTTGCTAATGGGATCCTACATAATTATAACTTTTATTGTAAAGGTCAATTGCATTGTTTGTACTATTTGTTAGATAGTGTTACCTGTTTACCCAGGGAAGTGCAACTACTAAAGAGAATGATCTTAAGGATCTTTAACAACCTAAGAAATTAATGTATACTTTAAATTTAAAAATAAAATGTTTTAAAAATACTAAAAATATTACTAAGAAGAGTTTCATACACAAAAAGCAGAATAAGCAAATTAGATGATCCAATGACATACTTACATAAGAATATAATAGTAAAGAATAAAACTACAATAAAAAACTTCATTTATTAAACTATGGAAAACACAAAACTATCTAAAGAGTGGCAAGAAAGCAGGTTGGACACATATCTTCAAAATTAAAAGACTAATGCGATAAATGACAAAGTAGCAAAAGCTAAACAGGGGTATAAAAATTTCTACAAATGATTTGATAATTAGAGAGAATGAAAAGTTGAATATCTGTATTTTTTGTCTACACATTAATTTTCAAAATGCTCATTATTTAAATATTCAATTAGCGGATAATTCACTTTTACAACAAATATTTTGGAATAATTTTAGGTTATAGTGGAATAAATAGGATGAATGAAACATGAAAAATATGACAGTATCATCATCATACAGCAATATTGAAGATTGATAACAAAATAGTGGAAGAAAAAAACGCAAAATAAAAACATGATAAAATATTGAGATTCTGATTAAGAAGTTCCTATAGAAAATATAGAAATAGCCAAGGTAACAGTATGACCGATATATTTTCAGGTCACTCACGATAAAACATTAGCAAGGGTTCACTACATGTGAAGAACTGTTCCTATAAGTTCCAGCCAATTCTAATTGATACCAATGCAGGAATACAGCACCAAAATAATTACCAATATTACTAAACTTTGTTCAGTGAACAAAGTATACCAGAAGAATCAAGAAGATTTTAAATATGAACAAGGAAAAGGACTGGGGAAAATGTTGTAAGTGAAAAGGGAAAAAATCAAGAAGAAAAAAAAAACAAAGCAGGGGTCAGCACCAAGTTTAATTATAATCTCAAGAGAGGCTAATGTGTATAAAAATTTTATGGAAACCAACAGAAACTTTTGTCAGCAAAACCATATCTTGTTTATGATGATAAGAAAGAAATTGTTTTTGTTTAGAAGTAATTAATGAACCATATGGGATACTGACAGACCAAAATCACAAGATTTGTATTGGAGTGAAAAGTATAAGATGAATGGGCCACATTTGGAGATGCACTGACAATAAGAAAAAAAAATCATAAGTAATTTCTAAGCATTAGAGGAAGAAAAAGACTAGGATTAAGTATGGTTCTGAAATTACTTTCTTATATTATTTCTATATTTAAAGTTCACTTTGCCAGAAATTGTTTAAGTTGTATTTTAATAGTGATTTCCTAGATGATATGATCAAATATTTTCAATAGTGTGATTCATTTCCATTAAATACAAGAAAAAGTAGAACATAATCTAAAAGATTAAAAAAACATACAATAGTGATGGACGTAGGATGGATAAGATAGACAACCAAGCAAACCACCTTGATCCAGTAGGTATGTTGCCCTACATACAATGTACTTAAAATCTCTGATTATCATTTTTTGATAATAAATATAAACAATGTTAGATTAAATAATTACGTGTGTTACACTAAACATCTCAGCTAAAATTGTTATTCACAGATTTCTGTTAGCACAACTATTATGTTAACTTGTCATATAAAACACAGGCAATAGTAATGTAAAGGTAAAATTATTATTTATTACACACTAAGTACTATAAAATGATCAGTCATAAAAAAATCAGCATAAAAGCCTTAATGGTTGAATGTATCTAACTAGAAAGAAAATCAATAATTAAAATAAAAACAACTTTGAACAACTCATGGCTTGCAAAAAATTACAATATTCAACCTATTAGAACATCTATTTTGAATAGATATTAGAACATACCAAATATCTATTCAAAAAGAAGAAAAAATGTAAAGAAATTCACACTAAAAAACATTGTGATACCATCTATCAAACTATGGAAAATATAAAATCAATTACCTCTTATCAAATATATATAAACAAATTCAGACACTTTAGAATAAAGATAAAAAAATAATCAGGAATCTAGGTATTTAAAAGGTTAATGTATCTTGAAAATGGGTTTTGATTTTGCACTTCAGTTGATCATCTATTAAAATGGAAAATCACAAATCACTGTAAGGTAGCCATTCTTTAGGCACATTACCTGTTTATAGGCCTATTGTTTATTAGTATTAACTCACTATTTCAGGATAAGTACTTACCTCAAATGTTTACTATAAAAAATTGTCAAAATTTCTGAGAAATTTACAAATAGGTACAAATAATATTGAAAAATAAGAAAAGGTGATAAACTGGCTATTATCCTCATTTGGTATGCAAATCACTAGATTTCTGTAGAAGATTAAAACCATAAAATGTGAAACTATTATTCACTATTAGAAATTAATTCTTGGAACACAGGTCTGTTATTCACAACAAATAGACAGTTAAATAAATCCATGAGGGATATTACTTTTAAAGAAAATAAGCTCCTTAATAGCTGATGACCAAAGCCATTTCCAGGAAGGCATAGAAGATTTACCAAGAAACAATCATAAGAAAAATGCATTGATAATGCAAAAAGATCAACAATTCCACAATAAAATATTTATTTATCACCATATCAAAACATTTTAAACAGACAATATTTGGTAATCACAAATTAAAATCAAACAAAACAGTGAATAAATGGGTGTAACTTATATCACTTACCAACTACAGTACATGCATAAAAGCATATCAAAATAAAAGAACTGGTAAAATTAGTTTAATTATTTTTATAAATATTGAAATTAAGCAACAAAAGCCCCACCCTAAACTAAGGATACCTATACCTAACACTATCATTATGTGCATGAACCTAAAGGTTTGGAAACACTGGGGTTCTATGCCACCCAGGACCCATCCAGATAAATCAAAACTACATTTATAGAATGATGCAGCAGACATTTCTGCTAGATTGCCTCTGGAAGTTTTCTTCAAAACTTTGAAATGGGACAATAATGTTATTAATGGCATTTTCTAAATTACTATCTGTTTGATAAACAGATATGAGCTTTAAGCATATATAATGCTTTTAGTCTCGAAAAATCCCTGTAAATTTAAATCAAACAATGTACAAGTCTTGTATCTTGCCAGAATTAATTACATATGATCTTGAAACAATGGTGATCAGATGTCAGACATAGATCCCAAGTTTCAAACAAAGAGCAATGGAAACAATGATGAGAATAGTAAGGGAGAATAACTTCAAACTGAAATTCAGTGTAGTAGAGAATGCTGCATGAAAAAATTGATGCCACTGCAGGCAACAACTAACTACCTGAAACCTTGAACGAAGATAGAGAAGAAATGAAGTAATTAGAAGAGTGTAAGATACAGTGTTGAAAAATTTAGTTTTGGATTTTTAAACAATAATTGATAAAAATAACTAACCACTTTCCCTCAATAACAAAAACAATGGCTTAAGCTCGTAGCAATAGGCAACCATTTTGTTAAAATATGGGATCAATATTAGACAAACGAAATTTCATGAACAAAAATGAGTTGACTTTATTTAAAAAAAAAACTGTTGAAAAATAAATAGAGAATTGGTTAATGATTACTTGCAATATTACAACAAAAAATCTAAAATCAATCAAATTTAATTAAAATCCGCAAAAAATAATGTGAAAATATGTAGAATGAACGCTATTTATTCTAGCTAGCTTACTCACAGCTCCAACAAATCTGAAGATTGTATATATTCACAGATTAAAACAAACGCGATTTTCGGCATATTCATATACCTAATGAAAGATAATATTTACGGAAAGAACAAAACATGGGTGGCATTATAAAAATCATCGAGATCATTTTAGAAACCTTTAATGAACTCTAAAAGCATTATATCAAAAAGGAAATTTTGAAATAACAGGGCATTATCGGAAAAACCAACAAATATTGAAATTGATGAAGAACTAATATTTTAAAAGAGCAATCAAATAATACAAATACAGAAAATATCTACTTCAGACAAAAGAAACGATTGCCTAATTAAAAACTATAGAAAAGCATCAAGAACGATTTTTATCATGATGCGTTACTGTTACTAACTGAATGTTTTGAAATTCGGTTGTTTTTCCCGTATCCGCCAGAATAATGTCCCATACATATCATTTGTAATAATCATATTAAATATTATACACCTTTATACGAAAAACTTACCGATAACGTTTTTGATACTGACAAAATCTTCCATTGTATAAAATGCGTTTAATTTAAATTTAAAACAAATACAAAAAACTATTGTAATGCTAAATATAACTTTTCTAAATTTTCATTAAAAACCGTTAGAAAATGCTACCCACTTAACATTCCTAGCATGTATCAAAGAATGCCAAAAATTGATACAAGGGTATAATTTATATTTTATACCCCTAAATTACTTAAAATATACCACATTTAACTAATGTATAATTTTTTTAAGAAGCACCTAGTGTTGATTGCAATTATCATAAAGAAACTTTGTTTTTTTTTCTTAAAAAAAAAACTCATTACAAAAATATACAAAATTCTTTCAAAAATCAAGGCGTGGGCCTTGTCTTACAAACAAAATGGATGATATTCTTAATTATCTATTGAATTGATCAATCAGTAAATTTCCTAAATGAAAATTCGTAACCGAAACCAATTTTCAGAAAACTTAACAAGAAAATCTGATTTGGCGGCAAAAATGAACGCTACCCAAGTTAATTTCAATAAAACGTAAAAAAAGGAACAAAGGCGTCATTATGAGCTACGTCATCAATAAAAGTGATCATAATTATTACGAATATATCCAGTAAAATCCTTGTTATTCCATAAAATCATCTAATTTAACAAAAAATCAACCACATTTTGCATCATGTACCCTATGCATTGTACGTATAATATGCCATAAGCTTAGTACAGCATAGGGAAATACACAGTGCAAATGGAGTCCTATACGTTTGTATAGCTTGCCATATGAACGGCTCCAAACGATAAGAAAATTATTTACTCGAACGTACAAAAGTTACAAAGCTGAAATTTTATAAAAAAATAAAAAACAAAATTTGGTATCATATAAAAAATTACCAACAGGCCAGCAATCGTACAAGTATCGAAAATAAAATCAGAACTTTCGCCTCCATAAGAACCAATGCTTTGCTTATGGCAGCCATTTGCTATACAAGTTATATGTACAGTAATAGGATTTAACGGGTGTAGATTCAGTAAAAACTAAGAATTTCACAAACTGGCGACTACTATTACTTAATAGTATATTAAAATATCTATACAGAAATAAAATATGAAATAGTGACAAGTTCCAGATCAAAAATAAAAAATAATTCTTACCTTTCAAGCTTTCGAACAACTAATACACGGCTTCGTATTTCGTATTTGGAACCCCACGCCACTTGTGAGGTGGACAGAGAGCACTGTTTACAATGCGCTGTGATTGGCTCGCTTCAAAATTAGCGCGTAAAAGTAACGAATTACAGTTGGTAAATGTCATTTGATTGGCGTTTCGTTAGGATTCTTTTCTGGGACCAATTAAACTCTTACTTGCACAATAAAGGCGCCCGTTTTTGTTCGGAGGCTGTTTCTAATGGCGGGAAAGCAACCAAAAGGCCTGCTGCTGAAAATGTTTGATGGGCCGTTGTATAATTTCCCTAATATTTTAAGATGACATTAATACAAAAAATTTTAAATATAAATTCACTGTGAGCTTCATGCCCTTTTAGCCCTAATACATTCATAGCTATTCTTATCTTTATTTATTTAAATAAAATATTTAGACAATTTATTAGATTGAAACCTAAGTTAGAATTTTAGTGAAATTTTAAGATTTTTGTCTCAGAATAAATATGGCATTTTAAGCAACATCGTGTGCAGTAAATAAGGGTTCATTAAATTAGAATATTTATACTGTTGATTGAATATAAAAAAAAAATAAGTACAATGTACTATACTTAATATTTTTAATTATATACTGATACTGATAATTTATTATTTTTTAAGTGTATACCAATTTATTATGCAACCAATACAACAAGAAAATAATATTTTAATCTATAATTGACTATATGCAACCAGTATAACGGACTTAATAATAGTAAATAGTATATTGTTCTTTTATCAAAAGTAGCAATAAATTTGTTCTTTTCTTGTGACATGTTAAATAAGATATTATTTTATATGGAAATTATAAATATTTGCTGGTTAAGATCATTTATAATTTTTATCTCAGATTTTTTTCAAAACTAAGTATTTCTGGATTGGAAATCGAAACGTCAAAACAAATAAAAAGTGTGAATTACATTACAATATATTATGGTTTAATCTCATATAAAATAATAGCAATAAATCTATTTGCAATCATACTTTCTTTTCTTTGTTCAAAATATATTAATACACAGTATAATATAGAGCAAATTTTAAAAATACGAAATACACAATTTAGACAAATTAATTTGGCATTTGTTGTCAGATATTTGTCAACCAAAAGAGTTCGCTAGTGTAGCCGGCGACAGTCAAGTTGGAATTGTTGCACATTTTTAATAAATATTTAATCATATGTTGTAAATAAACTTGAGAATTCCGTAAGTCTGTTAAATCTGAAGTATACAAATTGCTAACGCATATAATTATCCACCATCAGATATAAAACCTTATGACAAATAATCTCGCATAATTTGAAAACATTAAAAGACCATGCTGTTGACCAAGGTGCTTTTAATAGATTTATTATTTTAGCTGCCAATATATTTTGGAAGTATGGCTGGACCAGACGTGGCAGCGCTAGCTGCTGACTTAGCACGTGCTGTAGAACTTACTATGAGTACAGGGGCTTCTCAACAAGACAGACTAAGGGCTTATCAAGCATGCGAGAGTTTTAAGGAAACTTCTCCTCTTTGTGCTGAAGCAGGCCTATATCTAGCAGCTGGCACTCAACACTCACCAATATCAAGACATTTTGGCCTTCAACTTATGGAACATACTGTAAAATATCGTTGGACTCAAATATCACAACAAGAAAAAATTTTCATTAAGGTAAGGCATTATTTGAACATAGTAATTTATAATGGTCAGCTGATTAATACAACATTGTTTGTAATATGATATAATCTACTCATTAATATATTATTTTAAGGAAAATGCAATGAAATTACTTTCTGCTGGAGGTGTTAGTGATGAATCCCACATGAAAGATGCCCTTAGTCGTGTTATTGTAGAAATGGTTAAACGAGAATGGCCCCAGCAATGGCCTGGTCTGTTGGGAGAATTGTCAGATGCTTGTGCCTGTGGGGAAACTCAAACTGAGCTTGTTTTACTTGTTTTCTTACGTCTTGTCGAAGATGTAGCATTATTACAGGTAAGAACTGAAATGTCTATACTAAATTCTAAATTTTGTAATATTTTTCATTGGGTCATCAAGTAAAGCTAATTCTTTTCATAATAGATTCAAAAATTTCATAAATCTGGTATCATAGTGTCACTCTAAATACCAGATGGGATAGACATGTATTCCACTCTTCAGTTTTATTATAAATTATTTGTTGCTAGATGCTTTGTAAAAAATAACCATGTTTTGATAGTAAGATATATATTTAAATATATTCTTACTCTTACATAATTATTAGAGCATTTTAATATTTTGTTTACTCAATATCAACATGTTTTTCTGCCTGATAGTTGTAATCATGAAAATTGATCTCAATATTGAAATTTGTTTTGACATTTAAGCAAAAACATAATGCATTAAAATAAACACAATCCATATACTCTCAAAAAACTCCTTGAATTGACCCCTATACATGTTTCCTGAAATTTCATATTCTTTAATGCCCTTATTTCCTTTTTATCTGATAAAAAATGATTTTATCATCTCCAGATCCTCCCCATACCAAATGTCAGGACAGCAAATACTGCAAATTTACACAACAATCAACATTTAATATTTCTAGTGATAAAAAGCTTAACCACTTACTGTTCAATCAATCATTTATGATTCAAAGAACCTAAATGTGTACCTACCTACACATTAATCAAATGCGATTCAAGGGTGGGTAGATGTTATTTTAATATTAAAATAGTGTTGGATATGGTACACTTAGGATAACTTATGTTACCATTGGGACAGTGAAGTTTTTAATATATATAAAGTATATCATTTAGCTTTTTATTTAACTCTTCAAAAAATTTTGTTACTTTAGAGTGACTTTGTTTTCTGGATCTTTCTCATTTTAGGGATATTGTCTCTTTGATGTATTGGAAAACCTATATGTTTTTTTCTCTTAATTTGAAAATAGTATATCTTGGAAAAAATAGTCTTGAGCATTTTGTAAAGTTTTGGTTGTCAACTGGCATAATTCATCAAAAGAAAAATATGTTATTAATATATTTGTATCATCTGTAAAATTTACAATATTGACTGACATTTGCTACTTAATAAACAAGGTCATTTATATAAAGTAGAAAGACCATTGGACCTAAGAAAGTACCTTGAGGAATGCCTCTGGTGTTTTGACACTCATCTGAAAGGTGTTCCTCATTCAATACCTGCCTTCACAGCAACAGTCTTGTCTCATCTGTGACAAATATGAAAAAATTCATCTAAGTGGTATCCCTCTGACTTGATAGCTCTCTAGTTTTTGAATAAGGATTGTTCTGAGGAATATAAAAGCTTTGGATAAGTCCAAAAGCTTTGGAAAATTAAAACGGAGTTTTAATTAGTTGTGACTATCAAAAAATAATTATTGAACATTTTCCAGCTGCTAGATTTACAATATTTTGGTAGGTTTCAGTACCCTTTTTATTTTTGTTATTAATAAGTACTAATTCCTGCAGATGCATGAGTCTTTCGTTGCATATTCTCAGAAGCCTTCAATGATGATCACATTTTGTGAGTGTGATCATGGCTTATTACTTGAAAAATTGGGCAGTTTTAGATCTTCATTTAATGCATTATCAGTTTTCAATCTTTATTTAATTTGAAGAAGTCTCCAACAGATTTGGTAATAGCACATCTAAGGAATATTCAGTGGTTCCTCAAAAACATAAGGCCTCCTATATTTGCTTGTTTCAGTTTTTATTGCCTCAAATGCCATGTTAATGTTTGCTGATTGATCGTTTAGGATTATTTAAGATCAAAAGGTTCAAAGCATTTTATCTATTAGAAAAAAGTATAAATGTAGTATCTCAGTATTTCCATGTAATATAATGTTTCTACATATTGAAAACTGTCATTTTAACTTTTACATGTAATAAAAACTTAAGTGTAAAGGTCATGGTGTGCCTTTTCAATCAAGCAATTCAATTATATAATCCAATGATTATTACAAGGTGATTACTTTAGGCTATTACAATTTATAATTAGAAATGAAAATTTTAAGAGTTTGGGAGCAATCTGCAGACTTTTTCCTTATGATAACCATACCGAGATTCACTTATAAGATTGTGACTATCAAAAAATAATTATTGAACATTTTCCAGCTGCTACTAGATTTACAATATTTTGGTAGGTTTCAGTACCCTCTTTATTTTTGTTATTAATAAGTACTAATTCCTGCAGATGCATGAGTCTTTCGTTGCATATTCTCAGAAGCCTTCAATGATGATCACATTTTGTGAGTGTGATCATGGCTTATTACGTGAAAAATTGGGCAGTTTTAAATGAAACATTTTAAGAGTTTGGGTGCCATAGGTAAAAGTAAATTAAATTCAACATAATGCTTATACACTCCTGGTGTTTTATAGTCATATATCATTTTATAATAAATACCATATACAATTGCATGTTGAACAAATAAATACATAAATAAGTAAAATATAGTCATTAAACAACATACAGTTATTACAATATAAATCCTGATGCATGTCATTATCTACGTCAGAGATATAAATTGCGATTGTTGCCAAATTTCAAAAAATTATCCTGAATTATACAACAAAAGTGGATTATACAACAAATAAAAAATTAATATTCAATGTAAAAAAATTCGAAATAGAAAATAAGAATAAAGTAATAATCTTACATTAAAAACAATTTGAGCCACTTGTGTAGTATAAAGAAGTAAAATAGAATAAAAAAAACAACACTTTTTCATTATTGATTTACTTTGAAATGTTTTCTTACAACTAGAAAGTTTTAGTTTTCTAATCAATACATTAAATTTGTGCATATAATAGCTATATATAATTTGTGAACAATGTAAAAGAAAAATGTGGTGCTTTAAAATTACACACTTTTATGTTATATTTTTTTCATCCATCATGTTTTTCTTACAAAGACTTTGTTTCTTCATCACTTTATACCTATAAATACTGAAGCTTGATTTTAATACTCCAACAGCCCTAAGTTGCTTTACTTTCTAATCCAAGTCTATGTCACAGCTGCTACTAGAATCACTGTTATCTTTATATTAATTATAATAGGCAGAATTTGTAGTGAATGCTCTTGGGCATAATACTTTTTAATTACATTTTCTGTATGACTAATAGCATTTGGCCATTTCTGGGATGTAACAGTTTGTAGAGCTTCTTTCCACATGTTTACAGCATCACATTCTTTATAGCCATCTCTACCAATATGTGAGTTATAATAGTTTTTGGAAATTCCCCATGTTAATTCTATAGCTTTGAAGTATAGTATGGTGGCAGGGGTAATACTTTATGGCCAAATTGTTCTGCTAAATTATCAACACTGTATTTTGGAGGTGGCTTGTTTCTAAAAATAAATATTGCTAACCTGAACTAAACTCTCATTAGGCATACTTACTGCGTAACAATCTGCAAAGCTCATTAAAAGGTAGTTTATTATTAGTTAACCAATCTTTTATTTCAGTCTTTGTCAAAGACATGTTTGGTGTTTTCTCTAACAACACGGTATGGTATGGAACATTGTCCAGACAAACTTTTCAATACTTGATTTTCAAATCACTATAAAAAATTTTACTTGATTAATTTCCCCATGGTAGTCCATTAAATACTGCTATATGGTGTAGAAACCTGAACCATAAAGGCCAATGTGATGAACCGATTAGAGGCCTTTGAAATGTGGGTATTTAGAAGACTACTTAAAATTTCCTGGACAGATTACACAACAAATGTCGAAGTATTAAATTGAATGGACAGAGAACGAGAATTGTGGCCAATAATAAAAAGAAGAAAAACTGCTTATCTGGGTGATATATTTCCAAATTCCAAGTACCAGTTCTTAAAGCTTATTATGGAAGGGAAGATAGAAGGAAACCATTCTAAAAAATTCAACTTTCATTCTTCATGTTTATATTTTTTATATAATCTCAAAAATTCTGCTCTCTTTCACCAATATGAAACTGTCCCTTCGGTCCTTGCCTTGGATTATCTTTTAGATTACAATACTGAGTGACATACAACAACCACTAAACAGTTCTTCTTCTTTGAATTGAATTGAAAAAAATTAAATTTGATTTCATGTTCAACAACTTTAATTTCTCACAAGTATACTTACTTCTTTCATACATACTGTAAATTGTATTATGAATTTCGTCTGAATTTATTATTTCAGTAGTGGTAACTTTCTTAGGCCTAATACCTACGTTTTTGGGTAGCAATATTAAAGGTGTATTAGTTTTTACGGCCTAAGAGGTATAACTCACAGTTGAAATATGTAAATTTAAAGCTGCAGCTCCATGCTAAAACAAGGATGTATATTTTAAGCATCTACATAAACATAAAAAATACATTAAATACTTCTTAACAACAGTCAACGGTAGAACGAGGCCGTTATTATCACGTTCCTGTTCAAAATAATGAATTAAAGAAGCTACCATCTCTTTACACCAATTATTTAATTTCTTATGTGACATTTTGAAATTAAATCACACTAATTTTGCCCTAAAAAGAATAGAGTTTAATTAATAGTAAATGATAAAAACAAATCTGAAGTATCAACACCCCAACTATCGAATAAGTGCTATCATTTTATGCCAAAATGTCACCTTTGTTTGATCGCAGTTAGAGTGTGATCTGGACAAGCTGCTTCATAAAAATGCTTTATAATCCAGTTACAAATTAAATGAAACAAGTTATGATGCATTTCTTTAAGTTTAAATTAAGAGAAATCTTCAAATATTATTTCTAGGCATATATAATAAAATATGTCTAGTAGCTAGTGTTTACCAGTCTTGCTCCAATACAGCTGGTTTTGCTATTCCACTCCCATTCTTGGTCTTGGTCTTGCAGCAAGAGTCTTGCAACTCCTGCAGTTACCCATTAGCCTATTGCTATTTATTAAATGTTACTTTAGATCTTAGAACAATGTAACAGAGCAAGTACATTTTAAGCTTGAATTAACATAGCCATAATAAAGACCAACCAAATTAATAAATG